ACAAGATTGTTCAGTCTGAAGCTAACACTAAATCTGTGAGGAGTTTGCAACCCTCAAGAGTGAGGGTGACTTCACTATAAGTACGGTATACCAGTCCAGATACTTCCTAGCTATGAACAATTTTACTCATCTCATTTCTTCCTACTACTGATTCTGTGCCTCTTAAAGACTGATGTGCATGTTCTTCTTTCCTGAACAAATATCTATCAGAAGTTGTTTTGTATATAGCCAAGCTGTACTGCCCAGTATTCAGAAGCCAATCTGCAAAAAAATTTGAGATCAGTTTGACAAACAAAGTGGCAGCAATATTCAGTAGTTGCAATGAGCCATAGGTCCAGCAGATGGCAATTATAGACTCTCCATGTGAAGTCCAATTATCTCAAATTTCCTATAAGCCATGCAGCAAAACAGAAAGAATATGTTTGGTATGTTTTTTTATAATATTTTTTTTCCCTACTTGGCTAGATTAAATAGCCAAAGGACAAAGGAAATAAAAGGACAGCTTAGATATTACAAGTTTCAATATTTTTAAATAGTGTTGAGAGCCTTTTTGGTGTAAAGGATCAGGTTAAAGGACCAGGCTAGAAACTATGGGGCTGCAAGTTCCAATCCTACTTTAGGCACAAAGTCAGCTGGGTGACCTTGGACCAGTCACTCACTGTCAGCCTTAGGAAGCAGACAAGGGCAAATCACTGATGAAATCTCCTTAAGAAAACTGCAGGGACTAGTCCAGGCAGTCACCAGGAGACAACACTGACTAGAAGGCACATACATACACAAATAGGGTAGCGATAAGCTGGTGATGATAATCAGTCAATAAATCAACCAGAATAGAGCTGGAAGGGACTTTGGAAGTCTTCTAGTATAATTCCCTGCTCAAGCAGGAGACCCTATACAATTTGAGACAAGGGTCTCCTTTTAAAAACATCCAGTGATAAAGCACTCACAACTTCTGAATCTTTATTAAATGTTTTTTTTTTTACAGTGATACAGTATATAAAGATACAAAGTCGTGCTGAATTATTAATGGTGTCTATGCTCACTATAACAAAAGAAAGCTGCGTAAGTCTGCAAATTTGGCTGCAATTTTAAGTTTTTAATACTTGCTGACTTTTTGTTTTTAATGGCACACTCCAGAAATAACAATACTTACACAGGATTGATTCCCAGATGTGGAGAGATATTACATAAAGAAAACTGTGTTTAATGCAGGACAATTCCACCCCCATGGTTACTAATGTGCCTATTTGTAGAGAATGTGTGGAAATTCCACTCCATGAATTCCAGACTCTGAAAGGGTCCACCCAGATAATGAGCAGTCAGCTGAAATCCAGGGAAGGCTAAATAACCAATTCCTCCGCAGGTAAACATTTGTAAGAGGCCGAGGTAACCTCCATTTTGTTTTTGTCTTTTGGTATTCATATTTTCTTCTCCCTGGCTTGTTAATAGCAAGTAAGGGACAGCCCTCCTCTCCACCAGCTGGCAGCAATAGGCTTGGGTCTAATAAGCAGGGCAGCAAGCTAGTTGTAATTACACGCTTGGTATTTGTTTCTGAATTGAAATTTGGTTGTATGAATATGCTCTGATGTGTGGATGTATCAATAGATCTAACCATCCAGCTGGTCCTTGAATTAATAATGATTGAGATCAACATCTTCGGAAAATAATTGTTCAATTTGTCTTCCTTTTCTTTTTAACTTTATTTTTCTAGGTCTGGATGGATGGATGGATGCATGGATGGATGACTCAGAATTATTTAAGAAGTGATGGTACTAAGGAGAACTGCCCTAGAGCACAGAAACTTCCCACCAAGCCAGGATACTTGAAAGAAGTTGACCAAAGAGTGACAGAAGGGAAAGCAAGTAAAGCAAACGTAATCAGTTGTCCTTGGGAGTTGTCGGATTGAAGCAGAAATGGTTGGTGGGAGGAAGGTTTGGCAGCTCCTATTGTGAAAGAGCAGAGGCCCTAGGTCAACACATCTGTTGCATGTATGTGCATCTATCCCATTAGAACACAAAGGCAACTATTGAGTGGGCTGCATGTTAATAGAGGTGGGGGGAACAAGAAGATCAAGAATTGACTTCTTACTGTAGTTCCTTCTGCATATTAGCACAGATTACCAGAATGGTAAGTACTGTCTGCAGTTCTTTGTTACACAAGTAGTCTTCAACTCATGAACATAATTGGGATCAGAATTTTTGTTGATAAGCAAAGAGGTTGATAAGAGAGCCGTGCCCAATTTTATCACTTTTTGCCATCGTTGTTAAGTAAACCACTGCATTATTAAGTGAATCTTGCGGTTGTTAAGTGACTCGAGCTTCCCCCTTTAAACTACTTGTTAGAAGCTGCTGGGTTGGTTGCAAATGATGATCACATGACCTCAGGAGGCCACAACTATCATAAATACACGCGGGTTGCCAAATGCTCGAATGTTGACCATGTGACTGTGGAGATGCTATGACAGTTGTTAATGCGAGAACCAGATGTAAGTCGCCTTTTGTAAGTCGCTGTTGTAACTTTGAAAGGTTGCTAAACAAATGGTTGTAAGCTGAGGACTACCTGTAATAGGTTCCTGTCATCCTTTCCCGGCAACATCCAGTCTGGATGATGTTACATTGTAGGTCTTCATCTTCGTCTGTAGCTTAATGGTAGAGCATACCTTTTGTGTTCAGAAGACTCTAGTATTCATAGGAAGCTGCCTTTTATCACATGCAGTACTGAGTCACTGACTTCAGTACAGTCGACACCAGGGGTGTCAAACTCAATTTCATTGAGGGCCGCATCAGGGCTGTGGTTGACCTTGGGGAGCTGGCTGGGTGTGGCTGACTGGGTGGGGGTGTTGTGGTTAGCTGGCAGCAGGTGCAGGTGGCTGAGGAGAGTGAGGACTCTGATGAGGGGCCAGGACCATCAGGCAGTGGAGTGCTGCCTTCAGAGATTGTGGGGGCTGGCAGCAGTGATGAGGAGGTTCCCAAGGAGCCTGTGTCAAGTGCACGTGCATGAAGGATTACTTGGAGGAAAGAACAATTACAGCAGCACAGGTGACTCAGGAGTAAGGCTGCAAGGTAATGGCCCCTCCCTCAAGAGGATAAAAGCCAGGTCTGGAAAAGCATTCTTTGCAGACAGCAAAGAAGCTCTGAAACTCAACTGGTGGACATCTTAGTTCGTGTTTGGAGAATTTTGTAAATTCGTTTTTATCTCTGGGTTTTGGCAGCCTTGACAAACAACTTGGCAAGGCTCTTTCTTGTTGGAGCTAATTAGTGGAAAGCAGCCTTCAGAATAGAATTCATTATTAAACCTTAAAAGGTGGGGGCTGCTGCCTTTGTCTGTGTTTGCTCTTTGGGAATCCGGTTGGATCAGAACATGGGGTGGCCAGCTTGACGCCACTCCTCAAACTGCTGCCATGTTTCCTCTTTGCACTGGGTAGACCAGGCCAAAGCCACACTGGCCTGATGTTTCCTCTTTGCATTGGGTAGACGGGCCAAAGCAACATGGGCTGACCCCTTACATTTTCCAGGACAGCCCCCCGGGGCGGATCCAACCACATCACGGGCTGGATCCATACCACAGGCCTTGTGTTTGACACACCTGGTCTACATTGAAACAACAGTCTCCACAGTTTCAAATTGGAATTGAGAATGATCCTGGGACTTTCTCTATGCAAAATCTGTGTTCAGCCTTCCACTTAAAACTCTTCCTTGTAAGACTGCATAAGTCTTGTATGCGTCCTTCCTAAACCCTAGAATGCCACAGCCAGTCTGCATAGACATTACTGAGCTAATGAAGAAATGCTTTGATTCTATATAAAGCAGTTTCCTGGGTAACCAAATAAGAAATCATTGCAGGGGAAGACCTTCTACCAAATAACACAAAGTTTTGGATAACAAATCTTTTTAGTGGCATTCTTAACTATATTCCTGGTATAGAATGTTATTAATTCTGATCTTGACGTGCTTAAACCACAGGGTTCAAAATATGCAGTAAAACATCTTGTTGCTGAGGCAGACAAATCTTTATTGTGAGTGAATTTTTCATTATTTGGAATGTGAGTCAATGTAGTTTATTGCAAGGAGACAGGAAAAGGGAGGACAAATGATTAATGACCATTATCTAACTTCTAATTAATCTCCCTCCTTCCTCTCTGATCTGTAGAAGTTAAAAGTGCAGGATATTCCACCACTTAATTTAGAAGAGCCACAAAATGGGAGCACTGTAAAATAGAAAAAAAAATATGTGTGTCTATACAACACACACACACACACACACACCCCTTTCATTCAGAAGCTCAAAGAAGGGTACATGTGCATGTAATCTTAGTGTTAGTAAAAAAAAAAAAGGGGGTGTTTTATATATCTCTGTCTCTGCAGATATTTTTGTACTGAGAGGTGAGGAGGAAATATCGCCAAATATCCATTCTAACTATTTCTAGAGAGGATTCAAAATTTTCATAATATTGATAATAAAAATGTTATCTAGTGATCATAAGGATGAAGATGAAAACTGATTTCCAATTCCAGGGTTTTCCAAACTCTGAAAAAAACAGGGCTCTGAACTTCATAACGTGCTTCACAGACAAAACTTAGACGGGTGAAAACTGAAGGGTATGAAGCTGATAGGCACTTACAATGACTAAAGAGGGTTTTACTCATAATGATCCCTTAGTTTATACCGCAATCATTTCATGAGGGTGAGGGAAGCATGCACAGTTTGAAGAAAAAGTGGAAGGTGTTGAGGAAGTTCATTAGGAAAGATTAAAAGTTCCTAAAAAGAGCAAAGGATACTCTCCAGACTGAGGGAGGAAAAAAGGAAAAGAATGCTGCATGGCAAATGGAGGCCGAAGAATGGAGGGATGTCATTGTTAGTGACAGGAGGATAAGGAGGCAGTTGAGGGCTTAGCAACCATGACCACACTCTGACTCCTGAAACCATTTCACCCTTACCTGAGCTACAGTCACCTCAGAAAACATTCCAGTGAACACTCAGATCCCTACCATCCAGCAAAATCAGAAGTCATTCACTTTGATGAGGGGATCTGGGTACCGGATTGTTTGGGCATCGTGAGTGACAAGGTGAGGAATTCCTTTGGTGCTCACAAAGATCTTTCTAACCTTGCACAGCTTGTACTTGGCTTCTTCTGGTGTGATGCGGTGAACAGCAAAGCGTCCCTTGGTATCGTACACGAGGCGGAAGTGCTCAGCTGTTTTTTCAATGCTGATCACATCCATGAATCCAGCCGGAGAGGTAATATCTGTGCGGATTTTGCCATCAATCTTGATAAACCGTTGCATGCAGATTTTCTTGACCTCATCGCCAGTCAGGGCGTACTTAAGCCTATCCCTGAGAAAAATGATCAGTGGGAGGCATTCCCTCAGTTTGTGGGGTCCTGTGGATGGACGGGGTGCAAAGACTCCCGTCAGCTTGGCCAGCATCCAGTGCTTCGGAGAGGCCACCCGGTTCAGGTGCTTCTTGGGTCCACGAGCCATGGTTGCGTTCCGCCGAGAAAAAAAAGCAGTCATCTTGAAGAAGAAAAGACGAATGGTGGTGATGGATGATTCACTGCTCAGAGGTACCATAACTGCTGCTCCTAGAGCTGACAAGTTGTGTGAGGTCTGCTGTCTTCCCAGTGACCAAATTCAGGATGTAACTGACAGGCTAACAAGACTCTTCAGTCCAACTGATGATTATCCGTTCCCGGTGATGTATGTGAGGACTAGTGACACTGAAAGAAGAGACCTTGAAGAAATTTGTAAAGACTACGAAAACCAAGACAGGAAAGCAAAAAAAAAAAAAGTAGACTTTGACAGACTCAAAAGGAAAGTCAGAATGTTCTAGTGGGTTTATTGCCTAAAGGAGAAAAATGTCCAAGAAGGCAAAACAAAACATTGCAGGCTCAAAACCAAACAATTCCAGAAGATAGACAAATGGGAAGCAACTAACGAGTCCAAATTACATATACACAGAATGTAAGTTGGTTTTTTTTTTTTTTAAGGAAATATACAAGAAATGGAAAGACGGGAATATATTCAAAGAAGAATACAAAGCAATTTGCAAAATCTGAAGCTCTAACATAAGAAAAACTAAAATCCAGTACAAGGTTAAAGCAACAGATTATGCTAAAATAATAAAATGATTTTTCAGGTGTATCAGAAGCAAAAAAGGAAGGCAAGGAGATAGTAGGTCTTCTGCAGAGAAACAATAGTGAAACGGCTAAGGAGCAAGAAGGTCGTTCAATTCCTATTTCACTCAAGAGGTGAATGACTGCTGGCAAGGTGTCACTGGTTGGGTGGGGCTGGGAAATGAATTGAATATCAGGAGAAGCAAAGAGCAAGTAAAGGAATTTCTAGGTAATGTAAAAGAATTACAATATCCAGAGTCAGATTAATTACACCCTAAGGAACTGAAGAAACTAGCAGTGGTAATTGTGGAATGGCTCTTTATAATCCTTGAGAAGTTCTAGAGAACAGGTGCGGTCCCAGAAGATTAGAGAAGAGCAAATATTGCTCCTATTTTGAGAAAGGGAACAAGCAGGACCTTGGAAATTACAGGCTGGTAAGCCTGACATTAGTATGGGGCAAGATCATTATGTAGAATGTCAAAACAGCACGTCTGTGAGCACTTAGATAGGAACTCATTAATTATCAAGAGCCAACATAGATTTGTGCTGAAACACTGTTGTCAGACCAACTTCATATTTCTTTTTATGACAGCTACTAACCTGGCTGATTGGAAAAATGCCATGGAGATATGGCAGGCTGTTGACAAATTCTCTCATGGCATCCTTATTTTTAAAAATAGTCAAACATGAGTTTGTCAATTCAACTGTTACATGGATCTACAATTAGCCCAAGGATTGTATTCAAAGGGTTGTCATAATGGCATTAAATTTACTTTGAAGGATATCTCAAGTGAAGTGCCACAGGGCTCTGTCCTGGACCAGCTAGACATTTTTATAAATGATATGGATGAGAGAGTTGAGGAAATGTTTACCAAATATGTAGATAATGTAAAGGTAGGAGGAGTAGCTAATTCTTGGGAGGAGAGGTGCAGAAATCAAAGACATGGGCTAGAACAGCAGGAGGAAACAAATTTGAAATGAAATTTGTTAGAGGCAAATGTAACATCATGCATCCAGATAGGAAATCTGAAAGAAACTATTACAAGATGGGAGAAATTTGCTCCCAAAACAGCACATGTAAGAAGGACTGGGATGTACTAGAGAAGCATAAATTCTACCAAAGGCCAAAAACACCTTGAAGACCATAAAGAGAGCATAGAGTCCAGATTGTGAAAATTGTGCTCTAGTCTTCCTTGATTTCTTTGGAGTATTGTGTTCAGTGCAGTATTGTGTACATTCCAGTTTAATAAAGATAAACCAGAACAAGTCCAGAGAAGATGTACCAATCTGTTGAATGACTGGAAGTCAAGAAACTAACAAAGAACCATTAAAAGAAATGTTCAGCTTGCAGAAGAGGAGGTTGCGAGGGGACATGATATCTGCCTTCAACTATGAAGGACATTGTAGAGGATTTGGATTTAGTCTCATTTGTTTTGCAACTAATGGAAGGAAAGTTCAAGGATGCACTGTAGATACAAAGAGATATTAGGAAGAACTTCTTGAGAGTAAGAGCTGTCAATTAATAGACCAGGTTATTGCATGGAATGGTTTCTTCCCTTTTACAGGAGGTTTTCCAACAGAGGCTGGATAGTCATCTATGGAGAATGGGAGTGAATCCTGCAGTGTGAAAGATTGGATTTAGGAACCCTTAGGTCCCTTCTAGCAATATTAGTGAGCCAGAAAAGCTACTGAAAAATTGCTGTCAATTAGCGATTAATTTTCTAGTTATTTCTTTCCCCCTCCTATTTTGATCAAATGTTTCTCTTTTGCATGAAAGGTATCATACTTCAGCAACCTGGCTGTGCTCCAGATGAACTATACCATGACTTCTATCACCCCCCCAAGCAAATGGAACTGTTACCTGTCATGGGGTATTGGGACTTGTGGGGTTGCATGCTAACTCTCTCAGGAGAGCAAACCTTTTGGAGGAAGGCTGCTTGAATAATCCACATAGCTGTGCTAAATGCATGCAGTGCAAAAGAGACCTTACTTTTCTTCCTGTCAGTTGGAAACACATTTTCTGTAACTCCGGTCTCATGTTTATGTATGCCGTGCTGGAAACGTGAGTTCTCTTTCCAATTACTCTTCTTTTTTCCCCCCCACATCACTTCTTTCCCTTTGTTTTGAAAAAGTGAAGCCGTCTTTGACATTTCCAGACTGGTTGGCACTGCTTGCACGTACAGGCAGAGGGCTCCCTCCTCACCCCCTTCATTTGCAAAGCCTTGATTAATTCAGTGTCACTCCTTGGTTTGATTGCCTTGTTTCTGCATCTGGGGTCTGCCAACAGGTTGCTTGCTACAGTAAATGACTCCGTCCACCCTCCATCTCCTACCATTCCTTGGCATTTGCTTGCTTTTTCTGTGATATAAAAGGACAAGAAAGATAGAGGGCGGGGGGGGGGGGAAGCAGACACAAAGCAGCAGTTCAGATGTTCTATTCAAGGAGCAGCATGCTTGGAGGGATTTTCTTCCCTTCCTTGACAGAGGTTATCTGCAGGTTGGGGAGGTGAATCAATGAATCATAAGGAGTCAGCAATGGAGTTGCCTTCCTTCACCTTTCCTGATTTTCAGGTTTGCCTTTCTTTTGAAGTGGAACCTCTTTGACAAAACTTCTTGGAAATGTAAAAAGCAGCTTCTCTTTATTTCTATATAGCTGACTGAAACGCAGCCCACCAGGGCAGGTTTTTTTGAACTTATACTGCTGCTGCCTCACAGGAGTGTTTCTTTGGAGACCCATTTTGTCGACCAGCATAAAACTTGATTTCTTTCAGCTCTTACTAAATTATCTCACATGAAGTGTCAACTTGCTGGAAGCCATCAACCACCCAGGGTCATTTTATAAACAATGCCTCCAGCAGACAAAATTCTGTCCTTAGACTGGACAGTAGCCTTATGCAATTACAACATAGTATAGCTGCCCTTTGTGCTCCGTGAAGATACTTCTGTGGCCCTCAGAATAGATAAGAGGCAAACCTTTCGAGGCTTTGGGGGCATTTCGGTGAGTGGCGAGAGGGTGGTAGTGAATTCTTTAAGCCAGACAGAAGTTTAAAGCATTCTTTTCTCCTGTCCTTCAGAAATGTCTCTTGGCCCTAGCCAAGCACATCCTTTGATATGCCTGATCATACCTAGGACAATTATCAAGCCAAGAGAGATTTTCAAGCCAAGAGAGAGAGAGTTGGAAGGGACCTTGGAGGTCTTCTAGACTACCTCCCCTCCCACACTCAAGCAGGAAACCCTATACCATTTCAGACAAATGGTTATCCAATCTCTTCTTGAAAAGCTCCAGTGTTGGAGCATTCACAACTTCTGGAGACAAGTCCGTCCCACCGATTAATTGTTCTGTCAGGAAATTTATCCTTAGTTTTAGGTTGATTCTAGGCTGGTGTATCTTCCAGTCTTGCCCAGTCTACCTTGGAAAGGCAACTGTTTTGAAAGGCTTTTCTTCAAAATTGGTAATGGCAAAGACAGAATAATTATACTGTATAGAGAAAACGTCTCCTTTATACCTGTACTTACAATAAAATGCTTCTGCCACCAAGTTTATTTTGAGATGCAGACATTGTGGAGTGTGATTATGTTTTGCCAATATGAATGGCCTTTTTGATTGTCTTTTAAATGTTTCATTGCAGGATGTGTAATAGCATAGCTATTATAGATTTTCAGGACATAATGCATGCTTCTTCTTTAATAACATAGTCCCAAATCAATAGTTCTGGATTTATCAAAATTGTTAAAAGATGGTTGAAAAATAAAGACGACAATCACATTTTGAAGAGGTGAAATGCACCAGGTTACCTCTTTTAAGAAAATGAAAATTACTTCATTTGTTTTAACAATGGGGCAATTAATTATTGTTCCTCATTAAAGTAATCTCTTTTCTATTCAGCCATAGAAAAAGAACAAGAGCATATTAAATAAAAGGGAACCTCTGATTGGCTAAATATCTCCAGATTTGTTCTTCCGAATGATAAAGATTAAAAAGCCATCATAAAGGCATTATCATATTAAATTACCTTACTGAAAGCAATTAATTTGATTTCATGCATTACAATGGCTTCAGGTCAAAAACAATTTGATTACTTAGTCATTTGTTTAAAAAAATTGCCATTTTACATATTACCATTTTTATTCATAATTCATTTTGGATGCTGGCTGGATAAATTTATAGCAATCGTATACGTTAAGGCTTGCCTTTCCCCAAAGGATCTGCCCAACTAACCAAGACAGCCTGGAGCAATGTAGCAGTTACTGGTTTGAGCTGTTATTCACTGCCACCAACTTCCTTTCCTTCCCTCAATCACAGCTGCAGAAGCAAAGCTAAAAGAATGTCATTTCCTTTCTCATCATCATTTCGGAAAAGTTCACCATTGAGACACACTGATAACTGATA